TAGTATCTACAATAAACCAAAGTGACAAAGTAGCGAGCCGCGTGAAGACAAATTAAACTTAAGGGAGGGAATTAAAGCAAACGCAACCAGGCGAGGGCAGGAGGCAAGGCCCCGCGTGTCTAGGCCCCGCGTTGTAAAGTTCCAACTTGGACATCGATTCACAAGCTGCTGCTGCTGCTCTATTGACATCCCTACGAGAGAGAGAGCGAGGCTCTAGCTTGGTAAACAACAACAACAACAACCACAACAACAACAACCGCGATGAGAATTTCTCACCTCGGATTTCACTGCACGCGCGAAGCTGCAGCTCGTGACGTCACGCGGCAGCAGGTGACATGACGTCATTTCTGTGGTACAAGCAATTCCCTTCCCACAACGAGTGACGTCATTAATATATTATGTTAATGTTTTGCAGTCGGGTAGCGCCCTCGCTTCCCATGCGAAAGGTCGCGGGTTCGATCCCCGCGTCCTCCACAGGCGAATATATTTTTTACATTTATTCAAATAGAAAACGTTACACATTTGGTGAGTCCATTGAGCAAGGCACTGACCGCTTGATTGGGATTTGCTGTTTATTAAAAGAAACATTGTTGATCGTAATTTTACTTTTACATGGTTCGTATTTTTATTATATAACGTAATAAAATAATTATTTTATGTTTTATATTGTTAAAAAAATAATAAAATAAAAATTTGCCCATGAGCAAAAAATAATTATTTTATTATATTTTTAAATAAAAATAATAAAATAAAATTTTAATGTGTTTAAAAAATGTATTACTTTATTATGTTTTATTATTTATTATTTCCATTCTACGTGACTTTACCGAAAGAACCAAGAAGATGACACACACAGCTTGCACGATACCAACGACACTAGGACCCTCTCGACGCTACGGAGAGATCGGCGCACCTGGTAGCGTGAGCACGCCACTAAGTGTGTTGAATTCTCCGATGTTTTGGTAGCCGGATCAATCCCCGCATCCTCCACGAGGAATATTTTTTTAATCAAATTTTAATGTAACATCCATCGTTATTGTTGGTGACATGTTCACATTGGTGAACCAGCTTGACCTCTTGTCGCCCTCGATTTTGCTGTTTTGAAGTCCCTTTAAGGCGAATGAGATGTGACGAGAAATACATTTTTTTAATAAAAATCTCATCGCGCCTGGCAGGAGTCGAACCTTCTAATCCGCAGGCAGCCGCGTTAACCATTACACCACAGACCCCACGTGATCATGATGGGGATATCCGTTTGGTGAAATTTGTACATATCATGCTCATTGTGTTACACATCTCAAATGCACGTCCAGTACAAGGATAGACGGTGTGAAATGTCTTGCTAACAACACAGAACTCGCTAACACACACAACTGGCACGCTAGTAACTACACTTGAGCTCTCTCGATGCCAAGGAGAGTTTAGTGCACCTGGTAGCGTGAGCACGCCACTAAAAGCACTGGTCTCTCCGATGTTTTGGTCGCCGGATCGATTCCCGCTTCCTCCACGGGGAATCTTTTTTTTAAATCAAATTATAAATGTAACGCGCCAGCGTTATTGTTGGTGACATGTTCACATTGGTGAACCAGCTTGACGTCTCGTCGCCCTCGATTTTGAATTAAGATTTGCAGTTTACTAAACCCGCATCTTAGTTGATGTAAAAGTGCGGCGCGAGTTGCTCGCTGCGCTGAAGACTCCCGCCTCTGGGCGGCAGGCGGCGCTCGTGAGAACGCGAGAGGCGCCAGCTGAGAGCTGCGCCCCGAGGAAGCCTCTTGGCGGCTTGTTGTTGTTGTCGCACTGAAACACGTTCATCACCTTCAGCGCAACAACGGGGTCTCTGCTCGTGAATGTAAAAACGGAGTTTCCTTTTTGAAAACTATTGTTTGCGTGGAGGATGCGGGGATCGAACCCGCGACCTCCCGCGCGCTGAACGAGCAGCGCCCCCGTCTCAGCTGCTGCCCCAAACACGAGGAGTGGAGCGAGATTTCGGTAAAATCACGTGGAAAGAAAATAGATTTGATGATGAAAAAAACATTAAACTCTTTAATTCCTGCAGTAATCAGCTCGGATGGTAGAGCGCTCGCTTATTGAAAAAAAAATATTTATAAAAAATATTTATATCGAGCCTGTCTCTAAGATGCGGGTTCTTACTTTGATGCAAAGTCGTCACAGATGATGATGATGATCGCCGCGATGATGTCACAATGTCGTACGGAACGGGGCCCAAGCGAATCGTATCGTCCGTTTGGCGATATTTGTACTTTTCATGCTCATTCTGTTACACAGTTTATTTTAAAACGAAACGTTATCAATCTACAGACTCGCTATTCCTGTAACGCGTCACTCTCAGCCTGTGGGGGGTGGGGGGGGGTAGTGGAGGGATGGGGGGGGGGTAGATGGGGGGGTCAGGTGATGGGGGGGAGGGCCAGTCACGTGATGGGGGAGGGGCAGTCACGTGATGGGGGGAGGGGCAGTCACGTGGCTACGTGTGGGGGGGGGGGGGGGAGTTTGTTGGTGTGAGGGCGAGTGGAGGGAGCGGATTGAGGTGCGGAGCGAGAGAGACACAGAGAGAAGGCGAGTGGTGGTGATGGTGGTGATGATGGTGGTGGTGATGGTGGTGGTGATGGTGGTGATGGTGGTGATGATGGTGATGATGATGGTGGTGATGGTGGTGATGATGGTGATGATGGTGGTGGTGGTGGTGATGGTGATGATGGTGGTGATGGTGGTGATGATGGTGATGATGGTGATGATGGTGGTGATGGTGGTGATGATGGTGGTGATGGTGGTGATGATGGTGATGATGGTGGTGGTGATGGTGGTGATGGTGGTGATGGTGGTGGTGATGGTGGTGATGGTGGTGATGGTGATGGTGGTGATGGTGGTGATGATGGTGGTGATGGTGGTGATGATGGTGGTGATGGTGGTGATGGTGGTGATGATGGTGGTGATGGTGATGGTGGTGGTGATGGTGGTGATGGTGGTGATGATGGTGGTGATGGTGGTGGTGATGGTGGTGATGGTGGTGATGGTGGTGATGGTGGTGGTGGTGATGGTGGTGATGGTGGTGGTGGTGATGGTGGTGGTGATGGTGGTGGTGATGGTGGTGATGATGGTGATGATGGTGGTGATGGTGGTGATGATGGTGGTGATGGTGGTGATGATGGTGATGATGGTGGTGATGGTGGTGATGATGGTGGTGATGGTGGTGATGATGGTGATGATGGTGGTGGTGGTGGTGATGATGGTGATGATGGTGATGATGATGGTGGTGGTGATGGTGGTGTTGTTGATGATGTTGTTGATGATGTCGTTAATGTTGTTGATGTTGTTGATGATGTTGATGATGTTGTTGTTGGTGGTGATGATGGTGGTGATGATGGTGGTGATGGTGATGTTGATGATGTTGATGGTGATGATGTTGTTGATGATGATGATGTTGATGATGATGTTGTTGATGATGATAATGTTGATGATGATAATGTTGTTGATGATGATGTTGTTGATGATGTAGTTAATGTTGTTGATGATGTTGTTGTTGATGTTGTTGTTGGTGGTGATCACCCACGATGCGCCCCGCGTGTTCACGCCGTTAGAACTGAGCTGCTCACCGGGTCGCGTCGTGCAAAGGGCGCCAAATTGTGGGGGAGGGGATTTTTTTCCCTCTTCCTGTCAACGGGGGTATTATTTATTTATTTGTTAATTTATTTTTTTGTATTTTATTATATTTTACTAGCATAAGTACCCGGCGTTGCCCGGGTGAAAAATATATTTCTTAATAACCTTACATATATACACAGATGGGCTGCTACCCCCCCCCGCGCTACAATAATACTGTCTAATCGCTATAATTTTATTATCTACCGACCCTATAATAGTAATTGCACACATTGGGGTGAGGGGGGAGTGAAGAGGACGTGAAACTTTGATGAATTTACCTCAGAGTCGCGTGTTAATGCGCATATTTTTAACGGGAATTAAAAATGGCGTCCACCCCGCGGCGAATGCGTCGCTACCCGTTGCCAGGGGCAACCGTCGTGGAAAACCAAACGGACCAATCGCGTCTCGCAAATCCCTCACATTTCGGCCAATGAAACTGCGTATGGTCCGGCGACACACACACAGACACACACAGACACACACAGACACACACACAGACACACACACAGACAGACAGATTTGCGATTTTATATATATAGATTTATTTTCTTCTTCTTGGTTCTTTCGGTAAAGTCACGTAGAAGGTAAATAATAAAATAATAAAAATGGGTGCGTGGGGGGGGGGTAGTGGGGGGGTGATATTGGGTGGTGATGATGAAGGTTGATCCATAGACAGACTCACAACACAGAGACCCATAGACTACAATGTTATCTCAATAGGAATCGATTCAAACCGCTCACCGTTTCTATCACAATCGATTCGCATGGTATCCCAATAGGAATCGATTCTATCCGCTCTAATCACTAGCTACATCGATTCCTACGTTATCCTAATGTGAATCCATTTCATTAGAACAAATCACCATAATCGATTCCCACGTAATCGAAAATGTATTCGATTCCATCTTGCACTCACCACCACTGTCAATTCCAATGCAGTCCCACTAGGGATCGATTCCATCGGCTCCATTTTTGACCACAATCGATTCACTTGTTATCCCAATAGGAATCGATCCGAGTTTATTATTTGACCTTGAATCGATTTTCTCTGCACGTGACTTCGGCTGTCGCGTGGTGTGAGTGGGGAGTGGTGGTCCAGTGGTTAGCGCACTGTGTGTGAATGAGTGGTGGTGCAGTGGTTAGCGCACCGTGTGTGAGTGAGTGGTGGTGCAGTGGTTAGCGCACTGTGTGTGTGTGGGGGAGATCCGGGCCAGGGCCCCGTGGTGTCGACGTTTCTCTATTTCCTCCTTCACGACGTTTGAATGACAACAACAAACAACGTGTCACTGTTGTCGTCGTCATCACCAGCGTCTCGCGTGCCTCTCTCACAGACTCCCCGGCGATGTCGGCCTGCTCTTGGGCCGAAGCCTCGGGCTCGCCTAGCGGGGCTGCCGGGAGAGGCGCGCCTCGAGGCGGCCAGCGCAGTAGGCCGCAGGCGCCCTCCCGCCGCGGGCTCGTCGAGGAGAGCGACTGGGCGTGGTGGGTTCAGTGCGCGGCTGTTGGTCCCCACGTGACCACGCCGCTCGCCGCCGCCGCCGCGTGTTGGGGACCACTTAGTCGGGGGGGGGGGCTGGTTCAGGTTTCACTGATTTAAGTGTAGTGTGTAGTGTATAGTAGTGTAGTGTATAGTGTAGTGTGTAGTGCAGTGTGTAGTAGTGTATAGTGTAGTGTATAGTAGTGTGTAGTGTAGTGTATAGTGTAGTGTGTAGTGCAGTGTGTAGTAGTGTATAGTGTAGTGTATAGTAGTGTGTAGTGTAGTGTGTAGTGTAGTGTATAGCGTAGTGTGTAGTGCAGTGTGTAGTAGTGTATAGTGTAGTGTGTAGTGTATAGTGTAGTGTGTAGTGTAGTGTATAGCGTAGTGTGTAGTGCAGTGTGTAGTAGTGTATAGTGTAGTGTAGTGTATAGTGTAGTGTGTAGTAGTGTGTAGTGTAGTGGATAGTGTAGTGTATAGTGTAGTGTATAGTATAGTGTATAGTATAGTGTATAGTAGTGTAGTGTATAGTAGTGTAGTGTGTAGTGTATATAGTAGTGTATAGTGTAGTGTATAGTGTAGTGTATAGTGTAGTATATAGTAGTGTAGTGTGTAGTAGTGTATAGTGTAGTGTAGTATAATAGTACAGCACTAGTGTATAGTGTAGTGTATAGTGTGTAGTGTAGTGTATAGTATAGTGTATAGTAGTGTAGTGTATAGTGTAGTGTATAGTATAGTGTATAGTAGTGTAGTGTATAGTGTAGTATACTTGTACAGCACTAGTGTATAGTGTAGTGTATAGTGTAGTGTATAGTATAGTGTATAGTAGTATAGTGTATAGTGTAGTATACTAGTACAGCACTAGTGTATAGTGTAGTGTATAGTGTAGTGTATAGTGTAGTGTCGTGTATAGTAGTGTAGTGTATAGTGTACTAGTTCAGCACTAACCGGTGTGTTGGAGAGCCAAGCCACAACATTTACAATCGGAGTACGACGTTTCTCCAGTAGTTGCAACTGGCTTCATCAGGCGACAAGCCGGATTTGTGTGGGGAAATGCTGTTTCGTTTGTGTTAAATTTACCAAATCCGTTTTAATAATGATTTTGCGTGTGCCAGGAAATGAGAGTACCTGAAAAAAAAGCTAAGGTTTTTTAAAATCCTTTATATTAAGTTCACTTGCTTGCGCGCTTACGACCGTGCAAATCTTTCGGTCGTTTTTTAACCCACTTCCCGTGATCTAATCGAGCTGACATTTTGCACACAGACTCGTTGTGCGTGACAATTTATTTTCGTGAAAAAATTTTTGCAAAATTTTACACTTTTTAGGTAATTTTTTTAAATATTAAATTACCAATTGCTTAATGGTGGCAGGCAATCATCTGACCCATAGGTGGCAGCCATCTCAAGCCAGAGGACGAGAGGACGCTAGCCGCCCGTTTCAAAGACCAATGTGGGCTGGGTTGTGGCGCATTGAACACGCATATAAAGGATTTATAGTGAAAAACTTAGTTTTTACGGGTTAATTTTTTTAAATTCCCATTGTGATAAACACGAAATAGCCTGTGAAGTTAGGCCTAACCTCCTCCCCCCTCCCTACAATCGCTGTTGGCCCACACGCACACACACACTGCAGTGAGCAGGCAAGTGATTGCCAGAGGTGACTCGCGTATGTGACTTACTAATGCGTCCGGACACAGACGAGAGACGCACACATGCAGACTAAACGCGGCCACGCACAGCCACAAAGACCACACACACACCATGCAGATTACGTGCAGACACGCAGAGATTACACGGATGCGTAAAAACAAGATACAAAATACGTACTCGCAGACTAAATTAGACACGCACACCCACACACAAATACATGTCCATACAATTTGTATGTGCACATGTGTTTGAAATAGTGTAGTGTATAGTGTAGTGTATAGTGTAGTGTATAGTGTAGTGTATAGTGTAGTATACTAGTACAGCACTAGTGTATAGTGTAGTGTATAGTGTAGTGTAGTGTATAGTAGTGTATAGTGTAGTGTATAGTGTAGTATACTAGTACAGCACTAGTGTATAGTGTAGTGTATAGTAGTGTAGTGTATAGTGTAGTGTGTAGTGTATAGTATAGTATGCTAGTACAGCACTAGTGTATAGTGTAGTGTATAGTGTAGTGTATAGTGTAGTGTATAGTAGTGTATAGTGTAGTGTATAGTATAGTATACTAGTACAGCACTAGTGTATAGTGTAGTGTATAGTGTAGTGTATAGTAGTGTATAGTAGTGTATAGTGTAGTGGGTGGGGAGCGGTGGCGCAGCTGTTAGCGCTACGCTGCGCTACGAACCTGGCGACCCGAGTTCAATTCCCCGCTTGCGGTCAACACCAGTGACGATTATTTGAACCAATCCTGGGCCTCCCCTAGGTCGACTCGGCCTTAAATGAGCACCTGGTGCAGTGTGTAAACATCGCCACTGGTGTTGGCCACCCACCCCTCGTGTGCCGTGCCGGCCTTCATAGGTGCTCGCAAACAGCACTTGCCCCAACAGTCTGTACTGGCTATACGGGGGATATTTGTCTTTGTGTATGTGCACACACACAAAACAAGATACGTCTCCCACCATAGCCCTCTTTAGTTTGTTGGGGAAAGTGCTGTTTGGGAACATCTATGAAGACTGGTTGGGCTGTAAGATTTCTATGGATTGGATCACCTGAATGAGAAGAGTAGTGCGTTGATATTGAGATGTGGTTCCATTATGTTTCATACTAATCCAAACATATCTTTTCTTAAAGCGTTATGGGTGAAGGCAGGGAATTACTTTAAATGATTGGCAGCGACTACATGTAATGATTGATGTTGGCAAACGTGGCGTCAGTTATATCAACAAATGTACATCAGCATTGGGAGCTGAAATTACCATGACATTGTGATGCAAATGTAATGGGTTCCGGAGACACTTGTAGAGGTAACTTCTTTATTACAATCCAATACTCCAACAGTCCTGATACTCTTGTTACAGCCTAGGTACACAGCCTAGGTACACAGCCTAGATACACAGCCTAGGTACACAGCCTAGATACACTACTCTGGCTACGTTCTGGAACTCGCCCTCACAGTTCCAGAGTCCCACCACTGGCCCTCACAGCGTCCCAGGGTCCTAAGCTGGCTGGCGGGTCTTGAGCTACAACTGGCCCCAATCGTCCAGGGAGCTGCCCTTTTGTGCCTCGTCCCCAACGAGGGGTGGGGTTGTGTGCGCCCCCAGGTATCCCACAGAGCACACAGCCCCCCTGTTGGTGGCGCCAAGGGGCTTAAGCGTCTGGGGTGCCTGGGATCCTAGTGCCTGGCGCCAAGGGGCTTAAGTGTCTGGGGTGCCTGGGATCCTAGCGCCTGGCGCCAAGGGGCTTAACTGTCTGGGGTGCCTGGGATCCTAGTGCCTGGCGCCAAGGGGCTTAAGTGTCTGGGGTGCCTGGGATCCTAGCGTCTGGCGCCAAGGGGCTTAAGCGTCTGGGGTGCCTGGGATCCTAGTGCCTGGTGCCAAGGGGCTTAACTGTCTGGGGTGCCTGGGATCCTAGTGCCTGGTGCCAAGGGGCTTAACTGTCTGGGGTGCCTGGGATCCTAGTGCCTGGCGCCAAGGGGCTTAAGTGTCTGGGGTGCCTGGGATCCTAGCGTCTGGCGCCAAGGGGCTTAAGTGTCTGGGGTGCCTGGGATCCTAGCGCCTGGTGCCAAGGGGCTTAAGTGTCTGGGGTGCCTGGGATCCTAGTGCCTGGTGCCAAGGGGCTTAACTGTCTGGGGTGCCTGGGATCCTAGCGCCAAGGGGCTTAAGTGTCTGGGGTGCCTGGGATCCTAGCGTCTGGCGCCAAGGGGCTTAAGTGTCTGGGGTGCCTGGGATCCTAGCGCCTGGTGCCAAGGGGCTTAAGTGTCTGGGGTGCCTGGGATCCTAGTGCCTGGCGCCAAGGGGCTTATCTGCCTAGGGTCCCAGAGCCCCCGGCAGCCCTTCCCTCTTATGTCACGACACAAGGGCTGTGTTGGAAACTCTTCCTTCGTTGCCAATGTCTGCTCGTCTCCCTTGTGCTGTTGCATGTTCAGCCCCATCTGTTTGGACACGATAGAAGAGCCGTACATGACCAAGTGTGGCCACAGCTTCTGGTATGTGCGTGTCTGCTCGGAGGAGAAGTGCTTCTGTTCCATCTTGCAAAACACTCGCAGACCAAGTTCCTCGCAATCCAAGGTTTTACTGTACTTTGTTGTTGCATTCCATTTCTTTCCACCGTCCGGCGAATGCGCGACAATATTCGGTGATTGGTAAATTTTCCAATGATGCTGATAACGGCGATTGCCAATTTACTCGCCGTTGCATTTTGTCTGCGTTTCAGTTGCAAATGCATCCGTCGGAGTCTGGAGGAGAACAATAGCTGCCCAAAGTGCAGTTCCGCCATTAAGAATTCAAAGCAGATATATCCAAACTTCCTCTGTGAGTTGTTTTTTACTTATTTTCCATCCACCTGCATTTTTCGCAAATTTTGTTTCACGGCAATGCAACACAGGCCTTCAACGATTGATGCTCTGCAAACCTCCTGGCTACCATCAAAGGTTTGTTCAAGTTCAAGTTTCATGTATTAGGTGTAGCCATGTGAGCCATTCGGCTCTTGAATCGGGTGCAACTGCAACAAACAAAAAACAAAAACATGAACAAGAAAACATCTTAAAGTGAATATGTGACTGAGTACAAACAGAAAATCCAAGAAAAGACAGCAAAATATTGCAGAAAAAACACCGTACACCAACGCTGTGTGCAAAAATCCCAGTGGGATGCAAGTCAAACAACAACAACAACAACCACAAGACAGCTTAGATTAAGGCCATCAGTCTAACTCTGTACTACAACAACACAAACATGGCTAAACCAATACACTTTTCGAAATCACCAAAATAAAGCCATGAAAGCAATGAAAAAGCAATCATAGGAACTGTGACGGAATTTTACACGAAGCCATCCAGATATACAAACACAGACGTAACTTCAACTAATAAAAGTAAAATAAAAATAAAATAAAAATCTTTTATTTTTATTTCACTTTTATTAATTTTAATTTTTTACCTACGTGACTTTACCGAAAAAAACCTAAGAATATGAATCCTTGCAGTCACGAAAGCTTCAAATCTAGAATAACTTCAACTGTGATGATGGGTACAAACTGAGTAATAATGGGAAAGATGTTATTAACCATGCAAAAAAGATTTAACGACACATATTTGGACCATCTTATTTAACAGGTACTATTCTACTTTACCGAGCGTTGACATCCCCAGCGTTTAACAGTACTCTCCTTTTTAAATCCTTTATATTAAGTTCGCTTGCTTGCTTGCTTGCGCGCTTACGACCGTGCAAATCTTTCGGTCGTTTTTTATTTAAATCCTTTATGTTAAGTTTGCTTGCTTGCTTGCGCGCTTACGACCGTGCAAATCTTTCGGTCGTTTTTTAACCCACTTCCCGTGATCCAATCGAGCTGACATTTTGCACACAGACTCGTTGTGCGTGACAATTTTTTTTTAGTGAAAATTTTTTTCCATAACTTTACACTTTTTAGGAAAAAATTAATTATATTGAATTACCAATTGCTTAATGGTGGCAGGCAATCATCTGACCCATAGGTGGCAGCCATCTCAAGCCAGAGGACGAGAGGACTCTAGCCGCCACGCATATAAAGGATTTATAGTGAAAAACTTTGTTTTTACGGGTTAATTTTTTACCTACCTGACTTTACGTAAATAACCTAAGAGTGATGCTCGCGTTGTTTAATATTTAACAGCTTTTTCCCCACACGCGTCTTTTCGCAGTGAACGAGCTGGTCCTGAAGCAGCGTCAGCGGCTAGAGAATCGAATCGAGATGGAACAACCGGTGATTGGAGATGTGCAGGGAAAAACATCACTGGCACATTTTATAGTAATAGGTTTTTACCCTTTCAACTGGTACAAAAACTGACACCTTTGTACCAGTTGAAAGGGTAAAAACCTACTACTATATTTTGCTACTGGTAAAGGAGATGTCTCATAGTGTAAATGCTTCACCCCGAGCTCTCAATACTCTGATAGTGCGCTGTCTTTGAGTTGTACGCCTTTTGGCGTCATCTGGTCCAACACCATGTGAGACTAGGCTCTTAAGAAAAGCTGTCTCGGGTGTGGACCAATCAACTTCAAGGACAGTGCATATCATCATCAGAGTTGTGTCTTTCTGTTTGCATTTTGACTGCTTGTGTTGTGGTTATTGCAAACATGATGCCTTGTATAAAGGTGTCAGTTTTTGTACCAGTTGAAAGGGTAAAAACCTACTACTATATTTTGCCACTGCTAAAGGAGATGTGGCCAGATCGCTACTGAGAAAGAGGTATGTAGCTCAGTGGACCTTAGCTGGCCAAACTAAAATGTAAATATTTGTTAAATAGTCCTCTACGTGGCCCACGGTTGGAGGTTACTGACCGAAGACGCGCCGTGCGCTACGGGCTGTCGGTGTCGCGTGGACAACGCAATGAACTTTGCTGAAAGTTCAAGTTCATTGATTAGGTGTAGCCCTGTGAGCCATTCGGCTCTTGAATCGGGTGCAACCGCAACAAACAACAAAAACAAAAACATGAACAAGAAAACATCTTAAAGTGACTTTGTGACTAAGTGCAAACAGAAAATCCAAGAAAAGACAGCAAAATATTGTAGAAAAAACACCGTACACCGATCCCAGTGGGATGCAAGTCAAACAACAACAATAACCACCACCAGACAACTTAGATTAAGGCCATCAGTCTTACTCTGTACTACAACAACACAAACATGGCCAAACCAGTAAACTTTTCGAAATCACCAAAATAAAGCAATGAAACAGTGATCACATAGGAACTGTGACGGAATTTTCACAATAAACGACAAACAACATGTACCACCAGAACCCTGCTGAGACGACTCCCGGCAAGTGCTTTTCGCACTTCACGAGGTGACCGGCCACGTCTCTTGATCACCGTGTCACGTGACCCTTCCACCCTGCCGACCCCCCCCCTCTTCCTCACAGAGCGTCCATCACCGGCAGACTATCCAGGAGTTGCTGGCGCTGGACCGAGATGGCTTGGAGCTGGCCGACGTGAACCGCATTCTGGAGCTGCTCACTCAGAAGAAGATGCAGCTGGAAGCGGTGAGTTGGCGTTGTTTGTGACGGCGGCGTCAGGAGCAGTGCGGTGCCGCAGAGCTCGCTTGTCGAGAGGGCTTTCCCCCTTTTCTCTGGCAACAAAACTGATGAACACCATATGAGACTGGGCTCTAAAGAAAGCTGTCTCTGGTGTGGACCAATCAGTTTCAAGGACAACACATAAATGATCAGAGTATTGTTTTTTTTTGCATTTGACTGCAAGTATTGTGGTTAATGTAAACATGATTCAATCTTAATTTTGGAGCTTTCGTGACTGCAGGAATTATTCTTTGGTTCTTTCGGTTAAGTCACGTCTAAAGATAAAATAGCCAATTAAATAATAGCATATTACGACGTTTCGATTGCAACACAAGCAATCGTCATCAGGCATAAAAGAAATAGCAACAAAAATCTAACTAGAAAACTATAGACAGACATACAAGCAGACAGACATCTCTCTCTGTGTGTCTTTGTGGTATTTCTTGTGATCTCTCATTTACTTGATACAGCTGTCGTGGCTGTGACGGTTCCACCTGAAGACGGAGGCTTGTGTTGCTTCCGAAACGTCGTGATTTTTTATTTTATTTTGCTTTATTTTACTTTTATTAATTTAAATTTTTTACCTACGTGACTTTACCGAAAAACCTAAAAATATAGTATTCATCCAAGCTACCAAGATCTGGACCAGTGTTTACCTCCCGGGTCTTAGTCATCAGTCAGGCTCGTTCAATGAACCCCGCTGGGCAAAGCGCTGACGTTAGGTGTTTGCGATCAGCACGGCACTCCCGCAAGCCTGCAGGCCTAACTGGGGGATCTCTGTTTGTGTGTCCGTGCGATCTGCAAGACTCCACCTTTGCTCGCACCGGTGACAGTGGCCAAGTCGCCTTCCAAGGGCGGCATCCGCAAGCCCCTTGCCACGGGGGAGGTCGTGAAGAAAAAGCGAAAAGTTTTGCATCTGTCGGACTCCGAGGGCTCGGACAGCATGGATTTCATGGTGAGTAATGCGACTGCTTTGATTGAAATTCTTTGGACGATGCAATGGGACTCGATCCACTCTCGTAGGGACAAAGCGGCTCGCTTGAGCGCTAGGGATGATTGGGTCATGTGTGGATGTTCACGCTGGATAGAAGCATTCTCCTAATGTGCGGTGCGCTGTGAAACTCAGAGCTCGACCAACTGGAGGGAGAGTTTTTCCCAGATAATTAAATAATTGCTGTAATCTAACAAACTATGTCATTGTAATCTAAGCCATTCATTTGACAATAACATTAAACAAAACATTTACAATTTAAAAACTAAAATCACTTCTGCAGTTTAATGCGAGTCTCCATCACCATCAATCAGATTCAAAGGGTCACTGGATGTGGGAAGGTGGAATAGACGTCTTGACGAGCTTGGAGCATTTGTTCAATGAACGTAGGATGAATGTGCCAGAGACGGAGAGTGCTCACAAAGCATGCCCGTGACCAAGGGACGGGTTTCTGAATTCCCAAAATAAAAAAAATGCAAATTTCGATTTGCTCGTACAATGCACTCGTATTCCGGCAAGGTCGAATAAATGTTTTAAATTGCAGGATCTTTGCGTGATTTTGTGTTCATTGATATTCACGTTTATACGCTAGGTCGACGAAGAGCTGCTAGCAAGTGTGTCGGGCGTGATGACTGAAAAGGCCAGGGCAGCAGGCAAGATGAGATCTGCCATCGTTGTCACGCATGTCAAGACGGTGAGTGCACCAGACTCGCAGTCCCGTTTGATCTCCCGGCGCGGCAGGTTAAACAATGCTGATGATGATGATGATGTCACGCACTTTTTTCTCTTACTCCAAAATATCATTGTTGCTCTTCAACAATCTTTCACGTGGTGAGCCGCTTCGTAGAGCTGCTCGCGCTTGTGGCCGGGACGCTTCTGTGAGAGAAGCTGATGGTTTAGTGGGCCTTGCCTGGTAAGATAAACATCTACTTCAAGGACGGTGCATACATTATCAGAGTTGTGTTTTTTGTTTGCATTATGACTGCAGGTATTGTGGTCTATGCAAACATGACTCCTTATAAATGAGGTTCCAATGGTGTAAATGCTTACCCCAAGCTCTCATACTCTGATGGTGCATTGTCTTTGAGTTGTGCGCATTTTGGCGTCATCTGGTCCAACCCATGTGAGACTAGGCTCTAAGGAAAGCTGTCTCGGGTGTGGACCAATCAACTTCAAGGACAGTGCATACATTATCAGAGTTGTGTTTTTTGTTTGCATTCCGACTGCAGGTATTGTGGTCTATGCAAACATGGCTCCTCGTAAAAAAGGTGTCAGTTTTGTTGCCAGATAAAAGGGTAAAAAAAACAATTAACAAGAAAAAAATGGTTTAGGTTTTTTTTGTTTATTAGAAAAAAAACTTTTTACCTTCCCTACACTTTGCGCTCCTATTGTGTTTTTGTATTGTTTGTTGTTGTGAAATGTGAACGACCTCACCTGGCATACAGGAGGTCTCCCCGTGGTCGCGTGGCTTTTTCTCCAGGTTCTCCGATTTTCCCCTCCACATTTACAAACACGCTCTCAGAGTGTTTGGCTGCTATACATGTCCACGTGATAGGCCACTTGGTTGAGCTGTCATTTGTGGCCAGTACACTTCTGAACAAGAGCTATACAGCTCAGTGGGCCTCACCTGGTCAAATAAAAATACAAAGTTAATAGTTCTGGACATCTGTGAAAAACAGCTTCATATCTCATCGCATTCCTCCAGTATCAATACATCTTCTCATTCTCTATAAATGGGCGCACCGTTTCATTGCTCGCCTGCTTGTGTGTGCTGGGGTCAAGTTGCGGGTGTATTTCCACCATCGTCCAAGACGCCGTGTACAGCGGTCACCCTCTGTAGAACTCCCACCAGAGCTCCTTCTGCCTGCAGTGACGTGACTTCTTCTCTTTCCCACGTGTCTCGCTGCATTTCTTCTGGCGGTTGCTCTCATTCCCAGTCCGCGTGTAGCGGCATCAATGCCAGTCACCTGATTGGTCACCCCGCCCGTTCAAGGCGACTGTTTTGACCAATCTTCAATGAGCCCATTGATGAACGTAGATCTCAGACACGATGCGGGGTTGAGTCGGTGGGAGACTGCCGGGGACTGCCAGGCTTGGCCTACGAGGTGGTCAGGAGATGGCAGTGTAGCCATGGATTCTTGACTCTATCAGTGTGGAGCTTTTGAGTGCTCCCCCCCCCCCTCTTATGTAAATGCTGTTTAATGTTTACAATAATATTGTGTTCGTGTCAGATGTTTTGAGCCCTCGTTTTCACGTTGACATTCTTGTTTTTGTGGCATTGAGACTTCATCGGCCACAATCATTCCACTTCCGGACGAAGACCTCCCCGCGCAATTGCCATCTCTCACGATCCTGCAGATATAATGATCCACACTCAGCGCCTACGCACGCCGCTCAATTCATCGCTCCATCTCCTCGCTTGGAGCCGTCTCAGTCGAGTATCTCCCGTTGGATGCCATTCCGGTCCATTTTTTCTTGACCGTCGTCCATCATCCCTCTCTAGGCACCCGTCCAGCCCAAGCTGCCGGCTTCCCTCAACAGTGTGAACGATGTCATGGAGCTGTGTGTATTATCTAACACTCGTGTTGTTGTCCGTGCGTATGTGTGTTGAACTTCGTTCGCAACACCGTACGTTGCCATGAACCCTGTGTACATGATCTGACCCTCGTGTCCGCACGTACGTACGTGTGTGTGTATGTGTGTGTGTGTACGTGTCCGTACGTACGTGTGTGTACGTGTGTGTGTGTACGTGTGTGTGTGTACGTGTGTGTGTGTACGTGTGTGTGTGTACGTTGTGTGTGTGTACGTGTGTGTGTACGTGTGTGTGTGTGTACGTGTGTGTGTGTGTACGTGTGTGTGTGTACGTGTGTGTGTGTACGTGTGTGTGTACGTGTGTGTGTGTACGTGTGTGTACGTGTGTGTGTGTGTACGTGTGTGTGTGTGTACGTGTGTGTGTACGTGTGTGTGTGTGTACGTGTGTGTGTACGTGTGTGCGTGTGTACGTGTGTGCGTGTGTGTGTACGTGTGTGCGTGTGTGTGTACGTGTGTGTGTGTACGTGTGTGTGTGTACGTGTTATGTATGCCGATGATTTGGTAATAGCTGCTCATTCAGAAGAGGAGTTGGAGACGCTGCTGCTGAGACTGGAGCGTGCCACTAAGAGGTGGGGCCTTACCATCAGCCCCACCAAAACTAAGCACCTGCCTGGGTATTTTGTACCATCGGACACTCCACCCCCACAACTCCCAATTGGTGATGGGGCAGTTGTGGAGAGAGTGGAGAGTTTCCCATACCTGGGCAGTGTGCTTATGACTGGCTCCAGTTAATCAGCAGAGGTTTCACTCCGAATCAGTCGAGCGGCAATATCTTTTCATCGGTTGCGTAACGCTGTGTGGAAGCTACCTGGTCTGTCGCTCCGCACGAAGCTTCAGGTCTTCTCGGCCACGGTCATTCCCTCCCTTCTCTACGCTTGCGAGACGTGGACCCCCCTGGTGGAGCATCTTCGCCGGTTGGAAACATTTAGGCTGGCCTGCCTACGATCCATCCTGGGTTTAACCAGGCTGGATTGTGTGAGGAGCTCACAAATCCTTGAAAGATCTGGGCAAAGTCCCATCAGTGAGCTCCTCCGGCAGGCAAGGCTGCGTTGGCTGGGTCATGTAGCCCGCATGCCCAGCCACCGCATGCCTAAACAGCTTTTGTTCGGCCGGATCGAGGGGGCTAAACGGGCGCGGCACGGGCTAGAGAAGAGATGGAGTGATGTGGTGCAGGAGGACGTGGAGCTGAGTGGACTTGCCGATGACTGGTACCAGCGGTGTCAAGATCGGCCTCAGTGGAGGAGGCTCGTGAAGGACGCTACTGGGCAGTTGGAGGCAGTCGCCCTCCAACAACAACGGAGGGCGGAGGAGCTACGCTCACAACAACGAGCGGAGCGCCGGGTGGCTAAAGCACAGCAAGTTGGCACAGTAGGGGGCACAGGTGGTGCATCAGCCAGTCATCTCGGTCATCTCGGTCAGTCGACCCGTGGCACCTGGGTCTGCCCCGTGACCTCCTGCCAGCGGGCTTTCGACACTTCACGTGGCCTCAAGGTGCACTTGGCCTGGCACAAGCATCGTGGTGACGTCACCGCCACTTAGTGGCGAATGGCGGTTGTTGTTGTTGTTGTGTGTACGTGTGTGTGTGTGTACGTGTGTACGTGTGTGTGTACGTGTGTACGTGTGTGTGTACGTGTGTGTGTGTACGTGTGTGTGTGTGTACGTGTGTACGTGTGTGTACGTGTGTGTGTGTACGTGTGTGTGTGTACGTGTGTGTGTGTGTACGTGTGTGTGTGTGTACGTGTGTGTGTGTGTACGTGTGTGTGTGTGTACGTGTGTGTGTGTGTTGAACTTCGTTCGCAACACTGTGCGTAGCCAACCGTGCGAATCGGAGGTGCGTGCGGATGGACAACAACAACGTTGTTCCTGTCACCGTCTCTTAGTGTCATTCCCAGCGAGCGTCACATTAAACTTGGACTGTCTGGCACGCAACATATCGGTAGAACATTAAACTTGGACTATCTGGCATGCGACATTTCTTTGCAGCGTCCGAGATGTAGCAGCCAACCTCAAGTCGGCTACCTTAGCACGAGTTTGAATTTCCTTCCGATTCAATTTGAAACTTTACCTGTCACACGCAGCCCACCGTGAATCCGCGCGTGTTATTTCGAGGACACGCCGTAGCAACGTGGAGGACGTATCCACCGCAGGAGCCGTACACCTCGTCACGAGAGACGAACACCAAGCCACGCTCACTTGAGCAGGAGAACCTCTCTAGACTTGTGACGATGCCCAATTGTCTTCAATGTGTTCATTTGTTACAGGCGATTGAGATCTCAAGAAAAACCACGTTGACAGCAAAGATCAAACAAGGGAAGATGGTCTCTGCATCACCTTCCATCAAGCTTCCTGCAAAACGGCGACACTCACCCTTTGACTGGTTTGAGGGTCCAGATGTCGACACCACTTCTGAATCTGAGGATTAAAAGAGAATCGGAGTTTGTTTTGAGGGACGTTGTTTTACGTTCCATTGTTCTTGGCGAAATGGTAGCCAGGGTGGAGACTTTTAGCCACCGCAGTTCAAATGTTTTGGGTGTTCAGTTTTAAGTCGCTGCTTTTCATCAATTTTCAGAGAGGAGGTGGGGGGGTGGACACTTTCGCCGTTAACACTGGTCAACAACAACAACACAACATGTTTTTCTGGCCTGGACTTTTGCAGCTGTTCTAGACTAATTTCAGGGTGCTGATTCCAAATCTGATCTCAAATTTGCTCAATCACATCTCATTTTTAAATCCTTTATATTAAGTTCGCTTGCTTGCTTAGGACCGTGCAATTCTTTCGGTCGTTTTTTAACCCACTTCCCGTGATCCAATCGAGCTGACATTTTGCACACAGACTCGTGCGTGACAATGCATCTTCGTGAAAAAATTTTTCCAAAATTTTACACTGTTTAGGGAAAAATTTAAATATTTAATTACCAATTATTTAATGGTGGCAGACAATCATCTGACCCATAGGTGGCAGCCATCTCAAGCCAGAGGACGAGAGGACTCTAGCCACCCCGATGCCACGCATATAAAGGATTTATAGTGAAAAACTTTGTTTTTACGGGTTAATTTTTTATGCTATCGGCATACCCCATTTTCATTGATTTTACCCGAAATTAACTCTGTCACTTATGATTGCAAGTTGTTGCGAGTCAGTGACTGCTTTAGTGTTAAATATGGTGCTGTATTTTTAGGATAGTGTGTTTATAATATCATTTTATGTAGATATCCACATTTATTTAATATTTTTCTTCTGCAGTTTTTATTGAAAATGCAATCTTTGATATCTCAAAAACCTCATGGGATAGACAAAAACTGATGCCAGATTTGGAATCAGCACCCCAAAATTACCTTAAAACCGTTGGAATACCTCATGCCAGACAAAGTGTGTTGACCAGTGTAATCTTTGAGGAGGGCGGCCACACATTTGAAATTACAGTTGGGGTTGACAGCAGCATGATGATGATTGGGGGGAGGGGTGTTTTCACATTTGTGTATTGTCAGGGGGGAGCGCATGTCAGAGGACCGCGCTAAAGGCCCATCGGGGGCCGCCAGTGGCCTGCGGGCCTTGCAATGAAGAATGAACTGTGCTGAGGTGAAGGTTTGAAGGCTGTGACATTCAAGTGGTGAACAAACCCAACCTGGGTCATTCCGAGTAGGAAACACGTGGTTCACGTGAGTGGCCATGATATGGCCATGAACTTCTAGGTGTGAAGTTTTCGTGACTGCAAGGATCCATACTCTATGGTTCTTTCGGTAAAGTCGCGTGGGTGAAAATAAGAATAACTAAATCACGACGTTTTGATTGCAACACAAGCAATCATCATCATCACCTGAAGCAATCATCATACCTGATGATTGCTTGTGTTGCAATTGAAACGTGAGAATTTCACTGCTTTATTTTTATTTTATTATTTCCCTTCTACGTGACTTTCCCGAAAGAACCAAGAATAAGATTAGGAGCAGTATAACACAACTGGCAGGCGTGGACTTTCGTGGTAACATGCATTTTGATTGTGAAGTGAATGTTCATTGTTTCTGTTCGTTGCGTGTACGCTCAAAATTAAAGCGCTTAAAATCGCAAGCAATTCCGTGCTTTTTTTGTATTCAACGTAAGGAAATACACTCGGAAAGGTTGTGAGTTTGCGAAACCCGTCGCGGGTACCAACTCAGCCCCTTCACCCATTGTGAACATCATCGCCACTGTCGGAGGTCAATCGTGGTTCCGTCCTAATAGCTTCAATAAGTATAACCCGTAAAAACAAAGTTTTTCACTATAAATCCTTTATATGCGTGGCAAGCCGAAGAGTCTTCGCCAACATTGTCAACGCGCGCCCAGAATCTTCTACAGGTGCAGGTCTCCAGAGGCCGGAGGCAGCACGTTCTCCTGTGCTGCTGTTGCAAAGTCTCAGAAGTGTTCACTTGTTTTTGAAGCACTCCCTCTGTATTCACAACAGCATAAGAGAGACGGGGGAGGATGACTGTGCGTGTACATGCACGCTATTGAGTGGCAAACTTTCACGCGACTGGCAAAAAACCAGGACTTGCCAAGTCACATTTCTGCGAAGACTTGGAGATATCCCACGGGAGCCGACCTCCATAAGAGGATGATCTTGGGGGGGGGGGAACCAGTACAGGTGGCAAACTCGCGTCGTAAAGAATTACAAATGATAACCGTGGCAATCTAGTGATATCAATTTAATGAAATGAAATGCATCAATGCAGGGATATTACATCAAAGCAAGGACAGGTGGCAACCTCGCGTCTTAAAACAAAAATACTGTAAAAACCACACTCGTTTTGGAAATATAGTGGCGTCACTTAAATGAAACTCGATATGACGTCAGCGCGGGGGAGTCGTGACATCAGTTCACGGTGACCTTGGCGTCTTTGTTCGTTTTGCTCACTAGACGGGATTCGAAGCCGTGTCCTTCACGTGTCAAGGGTGACCCACCCTTCCTGTCCTGTCCCCTCGGCAATGCCGCCTCCACAGTGACAACCAACCCCTTCTCTATCCCTAATGAACATCTGTTGCATCACCCAATTCCCTGACCCCCCACCCCTGCCCCCAGCTTGTGCCCGATGTAGTACAGGGACTACCTCTACTTACAAACATTCGACTTGGGAACTTTCAGAGATACGTGCAAACCTGTCCGTATGTCCCGTTACCGCAGTTCAACGATGCGATTGCCCATCACAAGTTGATTTGTGCAGAGATGAAGAGAACAACTGTGCAGACATCTCTTAGTAGGTATTTCAAGAGAATAGAGAGGAAACACGTGCCAAAGGGAATTAGTATCTACATCTGTAGAACGTGAATCAGTGGCATCTACATCTGCAGAACATGAAGAACCAGTGGCATCTACATCTGCAGAACGTGAAGAAATAGTGGCTTCTACATCTGCAGAGCGTGAAGAACCAGTGGCATCTACATCTGCAGAACATGAAGAACCAGTGGCATCTACATCTGCAGAACGTGAAGAACCAGTGGCATCTACATCTGCAGAGCGTGAAGAATCGGTGGCATCTGCAGAACGTGAAGAACCAGTGGCATCTACATCTGCAGAGCGTGAAGAATCAGTGGCATCTACATCTGCAGAACGTGAAGAACCAGTGGCATCTGCAGAACGTGAAGAACCAGTGGCATCTACATCTGTAGAGCGTGAAGTATCAGTGGCATCTGCAGAACGTGAAGAACCAGTGGCATCTACATCTGCAGAACGTGAAGAACCAGTGGCATTTACATCTGCAGAACGTGAAGAATCAGTGGCATTTACATCTGCAGAACGTGAAGAACCAGTGGCATCTACATCTGCAGAACGTGAAGAACCAGTGGCATCTACATCTGCAGAACGTGAAGAACCAGTGGCATCTACATCTGCATAGCGTGAAGAACCAGTGGCATCTACATCTGCATAGCGTGAAGAACCAGTGGCATCTACATCTGTAGAACGTAAAGAAACAGTGGCTTCTACATCTGCAGAACATGAAGAAATAGTGGCTTCTACATCTGCAGAACGTGAAGAATCGGTGGCATCTGCAGAACGTGAAGAACCAGTGGCATCTACATCTGCAGAACGTGAAGAATCAGTGGCATTTACATCTGCAGAACGTGAAGAACCAGTGGCATCTACATCTGCATAGCGTGAAGAACCAGTGGCATCTACATCTGCATAGCGTGAAGAACCAGTGGCATCTACATCTGTAGAACGTGAAGAAACAGTGGCTTCTACATCTGCAGAACATGAAGAAATAGTGGCTTCTACATCTGCAGAACGTGAAGAATCGGTGGCATCTGCAGAACGTGAAGAACCAGTGGCATCTACATCTCTCTCTCTCCCTGTCCCTTTGTCTCTCCCCCTCTCTGCCCCCCCGTCTCCCTCCCTCCCTGCCCCCCCGTCTCTCCCCCTCTCTGCCCCCCCGTCTCCCTCCCTCTCTGCCCCCCCGTCTCCCTCCCTCTCTGCCCCCCCGTCTCTCCCCCTCTCTGCGCCCCCGTCTCTCTCCCTCCTTCCCAACTGAATCCCCCTAACCTCTCGCTTATAAATCGACGAAGGTTCGGCGCCCTCTGATGTCTCTCTCTCTCTTCCTGTCTTCCCCTCGCCTCCCCTTCTCTTTGCCGATCTCTCGCGACGTCTCTGCCCCTCCCCTCATCTCGCCCCGTCTCTCTCGCTCCGTCCGAACCGGACCCCCCTAGCCTCTGCCTCAAGAACCGTTGAATGAAATTCCTCTGATGGTTGTCTCTCTCTCTCTCTTGCCGTGCTCCCCTCGCCGCCTCGTCTCTGCGTCTCTCGCTCGCCGCGTCTCTGGCCCTCGACTCTTGCTGCGCCGTCTCTCTCTCCCCTCTTCCCCTCCCGCTTCCCGACTCCGCCCCAGTTCTGTGCCCCTCAGGCCGAGCTCCTGTCCCTCGCTGACCTTCATCTGCCCCCCCCCCCCTTCGCTCCCCTCCCTCAGACCTCCCGCGGCCCATCCCTTGGCCCCCTCTCGCCTCGCTCCCGCACTTCTTCATGGAAGCTCTTCGTGGGCCGCGTCTCCTCCGGGCGCCGTTCGGCCTCCTGCACGCACCTCCTGCACGCACCTCCTGCACGCACCTCCTGCACGCACCTTGTGCACCGCCACTGCCAAAGACAAAGATCCCCTGTATAGCCTCTAACAGGCTGTCGGGGGCAAGTGCTGTTAGCGAGTAGCAGCACTTATCAAGGCCGGCACTGTGGCACACGGGGGGGGGGGGGGGTGGGTGACCAGAACCAGGCCCGGCCCCCTTTGTCTCCCTAGTGGTGATGTTTACACATCGCACAAGGGACAACTTTTAGGCCGAGTTGACCTCGGGGAGGCCCACGACCGGTTCAGATAATCATCAACTGTTTTTGGCCGTGAGCAGGAATCCAACTCGGGTCCCTGCAGAGTTCGATTGAGTTTGCAAACGAAAACTAAAATGTGTGGCACTAACGAGCAATCAGTGATGACAATTCCTGCTGAACGCGCAGAAGACTTGGCCCAGATTCCAAGAACACAGGATGAGATGTTACTATCCTTTGTGCAAGCACTTCCAAGAGTTCATGAACAGTGAGCCTGGTGAAATTTGGGGAGCGCATCGTCAGTAGTGAACCTTTGGTTCCTAGGGTGTTTCGGCCTTTCATACTATACACCCTCCCCAAAGGCGGCCAGCGACAGGGTGATCAATCCTGCGCTTGCGTCCCATTCCCAATTAGTCATAGGAGTTGCCTTGTTGTTGATAGCCAACATCCCATGGGACTATGCATGGCAGGGGCGTCCTCCTCCCTGAGTCAAGCATTGTTGACTGCATACCTCCTGGCCCTCTCATTTCGGGGCCCAGCTGGGGTCTTTCCTCTTCATCCAGAGCCACTGACTGCTGCCTTCTGCCGCCTCCGATACAGCTCTGATTGCCGAACGCTGGCTCTGGCCCTTAATTCCCAGGTCTCTAAGCAGTCTGGTTGTAGATGTTGCCACAAAACCTCTGCAGCCCACCTCCACTGGTCGGACTTCTGTGTTCCAGCCATGATGCCGTGCTTCGGCAGCTAGATCGGCATAGCGCAGATGTTTTCGCTCATAAGCCTCATCTACTGAGTCCTCCTAGGGTACTGTGAGCTCAATGATGAAGACCTTCTTGAGTGAACGGGACCAGAGCACCATGTCAGGACTTAGGGTGGTGGTTGCGATCTCCGGAGGAAACACAAGTTGCCGGCCAATGTCAGCTAGCATTTTCCAGTCGCGGGCCAAGCGCAGCTGGTCTCGCTCTAATGGTGTAGAGCCGCTCTTCGGTGGTTTAGGTCGTCCGTAAGGGGTGTGATGCTGCTGGGGGTGGTAGGGAGTTGGTGGCAGCTCGCTTGTCCTCCACAGCGGACGCAAGGTTTTTAAGGACTTGGTTGTGACGCCAAGTGTAGCGTCCTTGGGTGAGGCTTGTTTTACACCCTGTGAGAATGTGCCTGAGGTTGGCTGGCATGGAACAGAGGACACAGTCCGGATCTTCACCATACCATTGGTGAAGATTAACTGGTGTTGGAAGGATGTCATATGTTGCTCTGATGGAAAAGCTCAACCGCCTCGCTTCCATGGCCCACAGCTCCTTCCAGCTGATCTTCCTCTTCTCCACACTGTCCCATCGAGTCCACTGTCCCTGTTTGGCAAGAGAGACTGCCTTGGCCCACCTTGCAGCCTCCTCCTGATGGCGTACTTCCTGCACTACCATCTTCCGCCGCTCTGGTGCAGTGGCCTTACTCCAAGCAGCACGGCTAGTTAGCCCAAGGCCTCCTCTCCCTTGCTGAACATGACCCACAATGTCAGCATGTCTGAGGGCTGCTGTTGCCTCCTGGACTGCTTTTCCTGGCCTCCATTTGCGCCCAGTTGCCAAGGTCGGCGCGTTGTTGCTCACCACTGGGTCTCGAGATTCACTCAGTGTCATCTGGAGCCTGGTTTTTGCACACTTGAATTCCTCGGTTAGACTGGTGAGGGGCAGCTTGAGGACACCATCTCCATAGAGGCCTATGGTGGTAAGGCATCGTGGAACTCCGAGCCACTTCTTTAAGTAGCCTGTGACTCCTCTTTCCATCTTCTCCA